CTAAATAGTTGACCCTTTTGCCCCATTTTTTTTTTTGACTCATCACATACGCTGCTACTGTTTACTATCTGTCACTTTATTCCTAGTTATATGTTCAGTGCATTCGGAAAGTATTCAGACCCCTTCCCTTTTTCCACATTTTGTTACATTATAGCCTTATTATTTATTTATGACTTTTTCTCCCAATTTCAATTACGATCTTGTCTCATCGCTGAAACTCCACAACGGGCTTGGGAGAGGCGAAGGTCAAGTCATGCATCCTCCGAAACATGACCTGCCAAACCGCGCTCCTTAACACCCGCCCGCCGCACCAATGTGTCGGAGGAAACACCGTTCAACTGACGACCGAAGTCAGCCTGCAGGCGCCCGGCCCGCCACAAGGAGTCGCTAGAGCGTGATGAGCCAAGCAAAGCTCCCCCGGCCAAACCCTCCCCTGACCACGCTGGGCCAATTGTGCGCCGCCCTATGGGACTCCCAGTCACGGCCGGTTGTGACACAGGCTGGGATCGAACCAGGGTCTGTAGTGACGCCTCTAGCACTGCGATGCAGTGCCTTAGACTGCTGCGCCACTCGGGAGGCCCCGCTGCTCCACCCGGGAGGATAAGGCCACAGCCTTATTCTAAAATTGATTACATTTAATCTACACACAATACCCCCATAATGACAAATCGAAAACAGGTTTTTAGAAATTTTAGCAAATTTATTAAAAATTAAAAACAGATACCTTATTTACACAAACTATTTAATCAATTTTAATTTATTTTTGTCACCTTTATTTAACCAGGTAAGCCAGTTGAGAACAAGTTCTCATTTAGAACTGCGACCTGGCCAAGATAAAGCAAAGCAGTGCGATTAAAAACAACAACAACACAGAGTTACATATGGAATAAACAAAAACAAAACGTACAGTCAATAACACAATAGAAAATCTATATACAGTGTGTGCAAATGTAGTAAGTTATGGAGGTAAGGCAATAAATAGGCCATAGTGCAAAATAATTACAATTTAGTATTAAGACTGGAGTGATGGATGTGCAGAAGATGATGTGCAAATAGATATACTGGGGTGCAAATGAGAAAAATAAATAACAATGTAAATAACAATATGGGGATGAGGTAGTTGGGTGGGCTAATTACAGATGGGCTGTGTACAGGTGCAGTGATCGGTAAGCTGCTCTGACAACTGATGCTTAAAGTTAGTGAGGTAGATAAGAGTCTCCAGCTTCAGAGATTTTTGCAGTTCGTTCAAGTCATTTGCAGCAGAGAACTGGAAGGAATGGCGGCCAAAGGAGGTGTTGGTTTTGGGAATGACCAGTGAGATATACCTGCTGGAACGCATACTACGGGTGGGTGTTGCTATGGTGACCAGTGATCTAAGATAAGGCGGGGTTTTGCCTAGAAGTGATTTATAGATGACCTGGAGCCAGTGGGTTTGGCGACGAATATGTAGTGAGGGCCAGCCAACGAGCGTACAGGTCACAATGGTGGGTAGTATATGGGGCTTTGGTGACAAAGCGGATGGCACTGTGATAGACTACATCCAATTTGCTGAGTAGAGTGTTGGAAGCTATTTTGTAAATGACATCGCCAAAGTCAAGGATCGGTAGGATAGTCAGTTTTACGAGGGCATGTTTAGCAGCATGAGTGAAGGAGGCTTTGTTGCGAAATAGGAAGCCAATTCTAGATGTAACTTTGGATTGGAGATGCTTAATGTGAGTCTGGAAGGAGAGTTTACGGTCTAACCAGACACCTAGGTATTTGTAGTTGTCCACATATTCTAAGTCAGACCCGTCGAGAGTAGTGATTCTAGTCAGGCGGGCGGGTGCAAGCAGCGTTCGATTAAAGAGCATGCATTTAGTTTTACTAGCATTTAAGAGCAGTTGTAGGCCACGGAAGGAGTGTTGTATGGCATTGAAGCTCGTTTGGAGGTTTGTTAACACAGTGTCCAATGAAGGGCCAGATGTATACAAAATGGTGTCGTCTGCATAGAGGTGGATCTGAGAGTCACCACCAGCATGAGCGACATCATTGATATACACAGAGAATAGAGTCAGCCCGAGAATTGAACCCTGTGGCACCCCCATAGAGACTGCCAGAGGTCCAGACAACAGGCCCTCCGATTTGACACATTGAACTCTATCTGAGAAGTAGTTGGTGAACCAGGCGAGGTAGTCATTTGAGAAACCAAGGATATTTAGTCTGCCAATAAGAATGCGGTGATTGACAGAGTCAAAAGCCTTGGCCAGGTCGATGAAGACGGCTGCACAGTACTGTCTTTTATCGATCGCGGTTATTATATCGTTTAGGACCTTGAGCGTGGCTGAGGTGTACCCATGACCAGCTCGGAAACCAGATTGCATAGCGGAGAAGGTACGGTGGGATTCGAAATGGTCGGTGATCTGTTTGTTAACTAGGCTTTCAAATACTTTCGAAAGGCAGGGCAGGATGGATATAGGTCTGTAACAGTTTGGATCTAGAGTGTCACCCCCTTTGAAGAGGGGGATGACCGCGGCAGCTTTCCAATCTCTGGGGATCTCAGACGATACGAAAGAGAGGTTGAACAGGCTAGTAATAGGGGTTGCGACAATTTCAGCGGCTAATTTTAGAAAGTAAGGGTCCAGATTGTCTAGCCCAGCTGATTTGTAGGGGTCCAGATTTATGCACTGTATATGTACACTACCGTTCAAAAGTTTGGGGTCACTTAGAAATGTCCTTGTTTTCTAAAGAAAAGCAATTTCTTTGTCCATTAAAATAACATCAAATTGATCAGAAATACAGTGTAGACATTGTTAATGTTGTAAATGACTATTGTAGCTGGAAACGGCTGATTTTTTATGGAATATCTACAGAGGCCCATTATCAGCAACCATCAGTCCTGTGTTCCAATGGCACGTTGTGTTTGCTAATCCAAGTTTATCATTTTAAAAGGCTAATTGATCATTAGAAAACCCTTTTGCAATTATGTTAGCACAGCTGAAAACTGTTGTGCTGATTAAAGAAGCAATAAAACTGGCCTTGAGACTAGTTGAGTATCTGGAGAATCAGCAATTGTGGGTTAGATTACAGAATCAAAACGGCCAGAAACAGTCTATTCTTGTTCTGAGAAATGAAGGCTATTCCATGCGAGATATTGCCAAGAAACTGAAGATCTCGTACAACGCTGTGTAGTACTCCCTTCACAGAACAACGCAAACTGTCTCTAACCAGAATAGAAAGAGGAGTGGGAGGCCCCGGTACACAACTGAGCAAGAGGTCAAATACATTATAGTGTCTAGTTTGAGAAACAGACGCCTCACAGGTCCTCAACTGGCAGCTTCATTAAATAGTGTTATGTGAATTATTTAACAAACTATTTCAGTGTCTCTGTGCGTCTCCCAAAAGGTTGTAAGTCTTTTGGGATTTAAGTAACGGACAGAGTCCCGGTCTGCATAGTCAGAGATATTTATTCATTGAGAATTCTGCCATCACAATTTCAGAGTCCATCTTTTATACTCATACGTCATACAAAAAAATCCCTCCCCTCTGTAGGCGGGCTGTAGTTTTCCACTCTAAAACTGCTCTCCTGACCATCAGTTCACACACACACACACAGATATACTCACATGCATACACACATACATACATACATACATACACACACACATGCATACACACACTCATACATACACACTTTCTTATCATAGCCTACTCTCTGCATTCCTCAGTTATTGCCGTTCTCACTCAATCTTTCTTTCGAAAACAATGACATTTCTAAGTGACCCCAAACTTTTGAACGGTAGTGTACATACTGTATCTACCTCAATTACCTTGCACCCCTGCACATCGAGTCAGTACTGGTACCTCTTGTATATAGCCAAGTTATCGTTACTCATTGTGTATCTATTATGACTTTTATTATTACGTGTTTTACTTTTCTATTATTTCTCTATTTTCTTTCTCTCTGCATCGTTGGGAAGGCCCGTAAGTAAGCATTTCACTGTTAGTCCACACCTGTTGTTTTCTAAGCATGTGACGAATACAATTTAATTTGATTTGATCTGCCTTGGTCAAATGTCAAATGAGGTGTGCTTGACTGAGCTTGGAGGATTTTCCTGTTGGTTCCATTGTACCACTCAAACTAAATCAAGCACAGTCATAGTATTATACATACAGTATTTGAATCCAGGTCAGCTCTTCTCCTACGCTGTTCTGGGTCTTTTCTAGTCCTAGTTGAGGTAGTTAGCCACAGCTATAAAATCAGAATACATTAAAGTTACACAAAATATCTCACCCTGCTGATTGAGCCTGCCAACCAATATTTGTTTGCTCCAGAGCTCACCGGAACTTAGTACCGGCACCTAAAATGTTCTACTGCTTCAGTTCCTGCACCTCTGTTAGAATATTGTCTTAAAACTATTGCAGAGTTCCTGCACCTAAATATAAACAGTACCGGCACACAAAATGAGTACCGACACCAATTTCAGTCCAAGTCAAGCACTGGTTTGCTCAATAGAACCAAGCTTACAAATGCAGGCCATATCAGTGTTTATTGGTCAGTGCTACCCTCTGCAAGACTAAAAAGATAGGCCCATAATAACACATACTTTGGCCATATGATTGATAGCAGGCAGGGAGGGAGCTCCAGCTGTACATAATTGGATTTCATCACTCCCTTTCTATTGTAGTTTATTCATCCCCCTCACTTCCTCTCATACCCAAGAATTGTCATCCCTTTCAATCTGGTAGTGAACTTTGTAAATCATTTGCAAATCAACTTCGTAAAATCAAAACTATATCCAATTTCATATAATGAACTTCATGTAAGTCATTATGTTGGTTATTTATGGGGTTAAAATATCCACATATCCATCATTTCCGTCATAACAACCTATTATTTTACTGTCAATGGTAATGTGATGACGTCAGTTCAAAGATGATGGGAGGATGAAGAAAACAGACAAACCAACCACTAGGAAAAGAGAATGGGTGTTAAAACCTCGCGAGAATATTAGCCTATTGGAAGAGTAGGCACACTGCAAGTTTGGAGTTGCAAGAAAAGACATCTCCAAAAAGTAACAACGACTAAAGATGTCCGGACGATCAGGTCGCGCGGAGACACGAAGTCGTGCTAAAGATGACATTAAAAAGGTGCTGGCAGCAATTGAAAAAGTGCGTAAATGGTAAGTAAAACCGCGGGGATTATGTAAATGAAATGTAAACATCTGCAACGCCACACAACAAACTTCACTCGGAAAATATTAGGAGGGTTGGTGAATGACTGAAACAACAGCCAATGGAGAGACTGGGCTGCCGAAGCCCGGTAATTCTATGGGCGGGACTAACGGAATTTTTAACAATCTGTCAAAATGGCTACACTTGTCCACATGTTGTTACGATGTTACGCATTCTGATATAACTGTGTGACCCACATTGAAAATATATCCATCGTCCATCTGAGCAGTTTCCCTCGGCGAGGTTCAGGAATATTAGGCAGAAAATGCACTTGCACCAATAAATGAGCCAACGCCAGCAGAATCTTTGGTTCATGCTTTGTATTACTGAATGTAGTAGATGTATTCTCTGTTCTATTACATTTCATTTTCAGGGAGAAGAAGTGGGTAACAGTGGGAGACACATCCCTACGCATATTCAAGTGGGTGCCTGTGACAGACACTAAACAGGTATGTTATCTTATAATAGATGACTGCCTCTGGCCATTATATGGTTCATTAATTAATTTAATGAGTTTGTGTATGGAACAACCACACTATGCTGGCTCTATTTTACTCTCTCTCTCCTTCTCTCTTTCAGATATACCGGAGCAAATCCATAACAGGAGAGGTTCGAGGTCTAAAAGATGTGGTGTTGGAAAACACCAGCTCTACCTTGGATTTCCAAGGTGAGGCACTGACTGACTATGGGAAGCACAAGCAGCACTGTGTTTGGAGCAGGTTTTACAGCACTGCAATACTCTTAATAACAGGGTTTAGGGCAATTCCATGGAAATTCACTCAATGCAGATTTAAAAAATTTAACATACTTTTTAATTGGAATTTTAATTTACCTCCTGAATTGAAAATGATTGACTCGAAACCAAGACTGCTCCTGTTCTCTTCACCGCAGATGAATGCAGCAACCAGAGTTTCCTGTCTGATGTTTACCAGCCCAAAATGGACAGCAGCAGCTCCAGCTCCCAGCATGCCAGTGAGGCAGTCAGTCCTCTCCCCCACACTACAACCCTCCGCACGACCGAAGACGCTCAACCACCTATGCTGGGCCAGGAGAGTGTGGACGGTACAGTTGGCCTAGCATACTACACCATCACAGTGTTTCCCATGTAGGGCGAGGAGCTTTTCCAGACCCTGTAACCTGACTAGGAAAAACTCAGGGCCCTAGTTATTATGTCACTAATGTAACTGAGGTATACTCTATTGGCTATATTACAGTTAATATCTCAATGCCTTTTAAGTGTTTCACTCTATATGCAGAACCGGCCCAGCCAGCACATGAAGTTGCTGATGAGCCTCCTACATTGATCAAAGAGGACCTGGTTTTGCCCCTTGGTGTCAGAGTAAGAGCTCCATGCACAGAGGTAAGTCATTTTCTATATTAATAAAGGATATGACAATGTTTTGTTTTTTTATCAATTTTTTTTTGCTGCAAAAAAGTTGTGATTGGTAATTGCTTCAGCTCTTAATAATAACATGAAAGAAATCACCAATATTTCTAACAGGAAGAAGAGGAAGGATCAGGAGCCCCTCCACTGAAGAAAGTTTGCACTGAAAAAAAGGCTGTACTGAGATAACTAGTTGACTGGATGGACATGCATGCAACCTATGCACTCTCTCTTTATTGAAGGCTTCAAATGGGACATACGAGTAACTGCCAAAATAATGGAAACACTTGAGTAAATGAGGGATACAAAGTATATTGAAAGCAGGTGCTTCCATACAGGTGTGGTTCCTGAGTTAATTAAGCAATTAACATCCCATCGGGCTTAGGGTCATGTATAAAAATGCTGGACAGGCCATTATTATGGCAATTCTTTTGGCTACCATGGAAATGCCCCCATGGAAATGACCCCATAGTACTGTATGACAAAACATCAAATGATGCAATTTCTTGTGGAAGAATGGTGTCGCCGTCTTCCGATAGAGTTCCAGACACTTGTAGAATCTATGCCAAGGTGCATTGAAGCTGTTCTGGCTCGTGTTGGCCCAACGCCCTATTAAGACACTTCATGTTGGTGTTTACTTTATTTTGGCAGTTATATGTACGTTGTCCTCTGTAGCTCCGCTGGTAGAGCACGGCGCTTGTAACGCCAGGGTAGTGGGTTCGATCCCCGGGACCACCCATACACAAAAATGTATGCACGCATGACTGTAAGTCGCTTTGGATAAAAGCGTCTGCTAAATGGCATATTATTATTATTATTATTATAGATTATTATAAAATATGCATTTATGTTAGTCAAGTAATTACAAATGGAATACATTTAAAAAGAAAGTTTAAGTTATTGTTTTAACAGTTTTAAGTTGTTTTTTAAATACAATTTTACTTTCTCAACTTTGAAAGGAATGTTAAGCCGTTTAATGCGTTACACTGTACATAAAGTCGTGCTCACAGAAAGTGCCTATCGCTCTGAAATATACACTATTTATTTTCTGTCAGCCAAGTGTCTCATATTATGCTATTCGTATAAATTGCACAGATATAAATAATTATGGCCCCTATTCAATCAAATCGGTTTGTTAATTCTGAGGGATGAAGTTGAGCATATGTTAATCAATATTCTGTAGAGTTTTTTTTGTTTCACTCTGTTAGCACTGTTTAAAAAAAATAAAAAAAAGTTTTTATCCAAGCAGCAAAGGAAGTATGAGGGAAACCTATTACGGTCACTGGATTTGATTGAATATGGGCTGAAGTTTTTGAAATCATTTTTTACATTTGTACTCCGCTTTGCAAATAAGATTAGAAAACTGTTTGTCATGTCTATCCTTTTTGATATACTGTATCTTGCTTGTTACATTTTCATAGGGCATTGGATGTGACTGGCATAGCATGAGTTTGAATGGTGAACGAGGTTGAAAAGTAGTTCAAGACCTTTGTGTAAAATACACTTGTATTGTAATTCAGAGATGATTTCTTATGGTCAGGTGGGTATTGCTCTCAAGTGCTGCAAAAGTGCTGCACATGCTGGAATATACCCTTCTCCGTAGTAAAATATGGTTGTCGATATTGTGTTTTCTGTTTGCAGTGTTTTGCATCTTTTGACTCCCATAATCTCAAATAATTGGCAGAAATGTTGTTCACCCTATAGGATGACCACTTGACCTGGTTGCATTTTATCAACACTCTTTCATGGAAATGATCAGATTGCAAATCCATGGCCTTGAGCCCTCAATCTATACATAGAAAGCTTGGGCCGTGACTGGCCATCAGTCTCCAGACTTAGCACTGTGGGTTTTTAAGCAGTCCATGAAATAAACTCATGACACCTGATAGAGATGATAGAGTTATTCTTGGTTGAATGTAAAAATCCATGGGAAGTGAGTAACTCCTATCACAGTAGGAAATGTAATTTCAGTATAAATTAGTGTAAAAGGGTGATTTTAGTGTTTTCATTTTTTGTAAATAATACAATTTCCCTGTCATACTAAACATTTTCATCAAAATAAATATTTAATTGCTTGTTATTGAATGTAAGGGATAGTTACATTTACATAACATACCATTTAGCGACTTACAAATTGATAGTTCACTCAAAATATAACCAAAAGTGGATTATAGGGGAATAAGGTGACTTTTCAAAATTGTAATGGATACAATAAGTCTTCAGACAGGGATATTGAATCTAAATGTAAAGGGAAATTATGTTTAAAAAAACACACAAACACATTTATTTCTCTTTCTAGAGGGGCCCAACAATGTCAATATATTTGACAATTATGGGGGTGCCCAGCCCACCCAAGCAATAGAGCAGTGGTTTCCAACTATTTTGGTTACTGTACCACCAACTGAATTTTGATCTGCCAGGAGTACCTCTGAAGTACCCCCTCATGTGCATTCTACCAGTAGGCCTATGGTCTCATGAGTCTTCTCAAGTACCCCCTGTTGATAGTCAAAGTACCCCTGGTTGGGAACCACTGCAATAGATCCCCACAGTGGATGCATCATAATACCCATAAAACCTAGCGGTCAAACAGGGAAATGGTTCCAAACCTTTTTTTTTCACCATTCATTTTTCCCATAGGACATATTAGAACCACTTCAAACAAGGTTTGTGCTTCATGTAGGCTTTCTCTGGCGTGACGTTTTGATAAGAATGTGAATCAATCTCGGACAAGGTGACCTTTAGAAATATATTCAGCTCTATTTACTCTCAGATTCGAAAATGCTAATTAGCATCAAAGTAGACATCATGCAAGACTACAAGCTCCTGCACTTCATTTATAGCTTAGACCTGTGCTGTCAGCTAGATAGCTACTAGCTACCTTGATCCAAAACAAAATATATTGAACATTTTCATTTACTATTATTTGTCTTATTTATGCATTTGGTCTTGTGTCTTGTACAGAATACTATCCTAGTAGCAGTCAGATATTTACAATGTGCCATGAATACTAGGCTATTTTTTTTTTGCAAAGAAGCGAGCTAGCTAGCTACCTAAATGATAATAGCAGCATACCCTTATTTTACAAGATCCTCTTCTCCTTCAGCCAGTGGAGGTCTATATTTAATCCCTTATAATTTCTGCCAACTATATGAATGAGGAGAAATCTATTTCAAATTCATGGTGTCAGAATGCACTGCTGTATTAAAGCAATTCAGAACTAACTTGGGGACATGTTCTGTTAAGTCTTGCAAACTCAAAGCGAGATTAATTAATTGCGGAATGTATACATAATCGAGAAATGAAAAAGCATATTTATTTGACAAGAATGCACCAAGTCACCCCATCAATCACCTCAAACACCTGAACTCCAACAATTACATTGTTTTAAAGAAATCAAAATTGTAAACAATACATACATAAGCCTTTTATAAATAACATAAACATCTTACTTAAAGTAAACATTTAATGATTTATTCATCAATGCCACAAACCTGGGACATTGAAGAGAACCATATGAACTATTATTACTATCAGAGAGCGCACAGATTCTTCTGCTTTTCCATTTTAGCAATTAGACCAGCACAAATAACACAAAATGTAAAACAGCATATTGTGATTTTTGGTGGGTGAGTTACAAATGGAGAAACAACTGGATGCGTAAGGTAGGTTTAATATAAAATACTAGGTCAACTCCAGCAGAATGAGAAACAAAACAAGGAAGCCATGCCTAAACCCAGCTATATCAACACCCTTCTTGTCAATTTAATGTTGCTGCTGTCAATTGTGAGCAGCACATTTACCACTGCATTCAGTCTGAACCCCAGAATAAGCAGGAGGACAGCATTACACAGGTGAAAAAAAGGTAGCAAAAACAGTACACCACAATACATTTAAACATGTTACTGAGTCTAGATGTTATCAAATCAGGAGAAGAACAAGTTAAGGAAGCAGCATTGGGAAGATGGGTGAAGGTAGGGTGGGTTTATAGAGATAAGATGGAGAGTTCCAAAATGTTTGAAGTTGAGGGACCATGGGGCATAAAAGGCAATGTGGAATAGGGGGTAGCTAGAGGTATGGTTGGCCATGGAATAAACATAAAATGGGGTGCTGGTGTGCTTCTGCATGCCTTTTAAGTCATTGTCTCAAATATCCGTCCCATGTCCAGTTGTACTCTGGGTCTCAGCGTGTCCCTCAACGTCATTCAAATCGTGGTCATCAAGTGTCTTTGAATCACAAAATTAAAGATGATGAGTGATCACAGGATTTCCACAAATTGAGCCATACACAATACAACTTAAGCATTGAGGACAGCATTTTGTTGACAACCTGGTGGTTTATACTATGTCTACTGTGTGTGAATGATGGAAGAGTCTTACCCCAGCTGTAGGTATGTGGTTATTTACAGTAGGCCTGCACATCAACCAGTACTGGGACCATTGGAGACTTGGGGTGCTTGCTCTCAAAGTGCTGCTTGAATGTCTTCTGGTTTGCATCTATTGTATAAAGGTCAAGTACAACATGGAGGAAGTTAACAATCTGTGGCTTAGATTGAATTCAAAGTTGACACAAATAATCAACTAAGCAATACGATGCAACAAACTACTACACATATTAAAGACTGTACCACACAGGCCAGTACAATAGCCTACACATAGAGAGTAACCTAAAAGCACATACAGTATCAGTCAACAAGTTCAACTGTACCCATAATACAGAATAATGACTTTAAAGGGTGGACAGCTCCAGATATGAATAGCAGAAGTGTGAATAAGCTTTTGTTCCAGCCCAGCTCATACCTGATTACAAAACATAGCCTGTCGTGGTGATTCGTTTGATTATTTAGGTCAGGTGTTAGAGCTGGGCTGGGACAAAACCCTTCACACACTCCTGCTCTTCAGGACCCTGCAATGACTGAAACAGACCAAAGCAGGAGAATAGTGTTCCAGGTTGAAACAGTTTACCTAGTTGAGAGGTAATAAGACTCAGGCACACCCATTGGTTCTGGAATAGAAAAGGTGCAAATAAGGTTTGCAATTTGGTATCAATAACATGACAGTAATTCTACCTAAAAAAACTAACCTGTGAATACCAATTATTTTTAAACCCACCATAGCAGGTAGGACTACATAATGTTACATAACCTTGCCTACTAGCTATTCTAATGATCTGCTGTCCAGAGGGTAACAGCAAACAGATCCATTTATTCCTGTAGTAAAGTAAGCACACTGTTGACTCAAGAGAGGATGATAATCAAGTCCATTTCTGAAACCTCTCAAAAAGC